ACAAATGAACAGAACTAGTCAGGAAAGCCAAAGGTCCAAGACAGAGGGCCAGCAGGACGGTTTTGAAAGTAAAGGTTCCTCTGTCTTGGACCTTTGGCTTTCCTGACTAGTTCTGTTCATTTGTGGCCAAGTGTAACTCATGTTCAATAAATCATCCTTCTCGCTGTGTCAGCTGAAGAATCAAAAATCAAAATTAAAAAAAAAAAAGTGGAAAAGAAAGAAATAGCACTAAGCTGTATTTAGGAAGTTAGCATTATCATGGTTAAAACAAAAACAAAACGAACAAAAAAAAAACATAATTAAAAAAAAATTCCTGGTCTGAAAGGGGCCTGCAGAGATTGAGGTATCAAACAAGGACCATGCACAGAGAGGACTTAGAACCCTGCTCAGATGTATTCCATTGGCAGTTCAGTCTCCATGCGGGTGCCTTAGAAAGGGGAACAGTCACACCCATGAACTAAGTTGCCTGCTCTTTGACCAACTCTCCTCTGGTGAGATCGCCTTACTAGGCCTCAGGGAAAAGAGGACACTAACAGATCTAATGAGATCTGATAGGCTAGCATCAGATAGTAGATCAATTTAGCTGATGAAATTAGACACAATCTTTTCACTAAAATGCTTTCAATCAGTTTTATTTTTCATTTTTATGAACAAACCAGTGTATCCACCATAAGCAGATTGGCTTCATTATGAAGATGCAGGATAAATTATTATCTTCCAATTTTTAGCTCTGCTACATCACCAAAGTAGACTTAAGGACATTAGCCTATGAGAGCAGATTAGTAGATTAAAAAAAAAAAAAGTTTGTAACAAGATCAAGCATCTTTTAATGAGGCTTCAATATAGAAAAAGAAAAAGAAAAAGAAAAAGAAGTATCTCATTGCAATAGACACAATACCCAATATTTATACTAAATGAGGAAATAACATTAATATCAAAAGAACAAGATGTATAATTTATTCAGTCTTATTTAATATACTAATTGAAAACATGTAAGACAACCAGAAAAGAGAAAATACTAAATAAATAAAGGAAGAAGCTGACGAACCCTTACTGGGTAGTGCCATGTTTCTATATATAAATGATATAAAAACTCCACCAGAAAAATCTTATAGTGGATAAACAGTTCCAGCAAGGTGTCAGAATATAACATACCAACCCTGTCTACCCCAACATTTCAAGAAAAGTTTAGGAAAAACTTACAATTCACAGTATCATTAAAACATACCTTAAAGTCAAATTAGCTTACATATGCCTGGTACCTACCATGAATATTTTAAATACATATACATGCAGAGAATGAAATGCAACAGAAGATTCTGAGGCAAACCAATACAGCTAGAGCTACCTAAACTTAGATGGAGCTGACAAAATTACATATTGTAGACATGACAGCATCTTCTACAAATAATGCTGAACAAACCATGTATCCATATGTGGAAGAACAAAAATAGATCCCTGTTTCTCACCTTGTCGAAAATAAAAACAACCAAAAAAAACCAACCAACCAAACAAACAAAAACCCCACTCAATGCCAAGTGAATAAACACCGTTAACATAAACCTGAACTCTAAGAGTTAGAGGTTGACACATGGAGCACACTTAGAGAAGCAGCCACAGGCAAAGACTTCCTGAAACAGACGCCAACAGCTCAGAAAAGAAAAGTAAGAACTGATCTATAAGATTGGGTGAAATTTAAAC